GGGGGGGGGGGGGGGGGGTGGGGGGGGGGGGGGGGGGGGGGGGGGGGGGGGGGGGGGGGGGGGGGGGGGGGGGGGGGGGGGGGGGTGGTGGGGGGGGGGGGGGGGGGGGGGGGGGGGGGGGGGGGGCGGGGGAGGGGGGGGTGGGGGGGGGGGGGGCGGGGGGGGGGTTTTGGGGGGGGGGGTCGGGGGGGGGGTGTGGGGGGGGGGGGGGGTCGCCGGGTAGCTGGGGCGGGAGGAGCCGCCCGGCGAGGCCGCGGCCGTAGGGGTTGGTATCTACAAACCTAGCTAAGTCTGGTATTTCGTTTTTGTTGTAAACCAACCTTCTAAGAATATGAATGCATTACTGATAATAGGTTGTAATCAAGATAAAGGCAGCAGTATAGTACGTAGGGTTGTTGAGCGTCACGCGAATATATATAAGTAGTCTACGTAGGTTCGCTACATGATGAGTTTGTGCCCATGATACACTTCATTTCTCGGGGCTGTCATGCTCTTTGCTGCGAGGTTATCTGCCCTCTTTGGAAAATCCTCGAGCGTTCGCGCGTATGTCGCCACCGAGTGCGCGATCAGCTTCGTGTTAACTTCCCACGCTACCATGTCTAAGTTCGATAGGTTGTCGCAGAGCTGGTGGTAGCATGGGTCAAACCATTCACCAGCCGAGCCGCCAAACATCTCTGCCTCAGCCGCCGTCTTGATGCCTTCTGCGCCTGTGGCGATACCCCCAGACGGGACCCCGCTGCGTAGGAAAGCGTCGTAGTCGCTCCGCCCATCGAACGGTATGAGCGTATGATTCAGGCTTTGCGCCTCATAATAATCTGCGTACAGCTCACGTAGCTGTTGCGATCCCGCTGGGTTCACTGCATCAGTCGCGTTGTAGATTTGGAAGGCGAAATTGGGCGACGCCATCATGTCATAGTCCATAAACAGCCGGATGCGCTGGTTCTCGGCGGCGCTGAGCTGAGCGACGTAGTAATCCGATCCCAGCAATCCCTCCTCCTCACCCGCCCACCACGCGAAGCGAACACAGTTTGTGACAGAAAACCGCGTAAGCTGCGTCGCCACCTCAAGGAGGCTGATCGAGCCCGACCCATCGTCATTGATTCCGGGGCCCTCTGCAACACTGTCGCTATGTCCACCAAGCATGACGCAGTTCTCTGGGTCGCCACCTCGCGTCTGCGCGATGATGTTGGTCGTCCTAATGGTGTCGACTATGGCGTCGATGAATGCGATCGAGTCGACGGGATGTCCGCCCTTCAGCTTCTCGATATATGGAGCAGCGTCTGTGTCTGATATCCCAAACGTAGCGACATGATGTTTAGAAGGCTGGCCAAGAGTACCAGAGACGCCGCCTTTCTCATTGTTGTAGATGATTACTGCGATGGCGCCAGCCTTGCCTGCGTTCGCTGATTTTGTGCCAAAGGGACATATCCCCCTGCTCACTAGGGCGATCCAAGGCCCCTTCCCATCGGACTCAAAATCGTGTTCGTCACACCCATAATGACTGACGAGTCGTAATTGACCGTAGACTGGGCCGCGGTTTTTTGTTGGGGGGGTAAGGCCCATCGGGGCCGCGGACTTCGGAACCTCGTGCCCGAGCACAAGACGAGATTCGAAGACATTGCCCGTCACGGCCGCAAAAGTCTGGTTGGAGAGGCTGTAATAGTCGCCCAGGTCCGCAATGGTAGAGTAAATATAGTCGACGGTCCCAAGGTGCCCTGTACTACGCGATTAGTCACCGCCTAACAACACCGACGTGGTACGGAAGGACCGGGTAAGAAAGCTGTAGCGCGCACCTTTACTACCAATCACGCGAGTGGGATGACCATATTCTTCGATGCTGAGCTTCGCAATCTCGAAGAGCTGCTCGGCCCGCCTAAAGAGGTTGTCGGGGTTAATTAACTGTTCAAGCTCATCTGAGGTGACAGGGGTCGCTGGCGTCGGTGTGGAGAAGATGGTGTTGTGTTTGCCAGGGTGATTGTCAGGGGTAGAGAGAAATGGGATTTGGAAAGCACAGGCGCTTCCCAACAAAGAAAGAGCGACAGGCAAAGGCAATGATAATGAGCGCATGTCTGGTGGTTTAGTTGATGTGCGAAGAAGATCACTGGGAAATTGGTGGGACGAGGTGGGGATATGTAAACAACGGAAAATACTACATCCGATACGGCGGTTCTTATTACGGTCATCTTTCACACTGACAGCGCAAAGATAAATCAATATCAAAAACCTCAAGGTGCCAAAATCACAGAGCCAAGCTCAAAACAGATACGGAAGCAAGAGTAATAAGATATAGGTGATTTAATTAAGGGAAACAAACACTTCGAAATTATTAATGAATACTAGTAACCAAATAACCAACGATATAATAATATTAAGGAATAATTGCGCATATAATAAATAGTACATAGACAACCTTGGAGTGGAGCACCCAGCATTCATTCCATTACATCCGCCGAATACTCTGTGCCCCAAAACCCGAAGTCATCAGTCTTCTCCAATGACCGACTAGCTTGCAATTGCCCTAGCCTAGTTCTACTTTAACACTTCAATCAGGGATGTGAGTATTGTGTCTAGGGCAGCTATTTGTTCGCTTGGTGCCATTTCGAAAGCTTTCTTTTTCTGAAGAGACGACTGCACTTCTTCAAACTTCATCTTCAAACCCCCTACCACATCAACCCGGTTGGTTGGTGTTTTTGGCAGCGCGACATGACTATCGACAGCTCCAAGGCTCTGAAGCGGTTCACCTTTAACTTTCGCGGGCGAGGATGGCAGTGAACGCTGCGCAGTGGCGGCAACCATGTCCCTAGGAAGTATCTGTGTCTCTTTTCCCTTCGAAACTGTCCTCGCATGCGGCTGTGGCAATGACGGGCTTGAGGACCGCGAGGGGATTGGCGATGAGCTGGACGAGGGAGATGATGACAGATGTCGTTTTTGCGGCAACTTTTGTGTCGAGGCCAAACCAATTTGGCGTTGAGGCTTGCTACTCACGGATAGGGCCTTACTAGTTGAGAGGACACCGGGCTTAAGATATTTTGACTTCTCGGCCCGAAAGTCAACAGGTGAAGTTTTCCCAAGCTGTGTTTCCAGCTTGCTAGCTACCGCTGGTGCTTTGCTAGGTGGTGGTAGACTCGGCGTTGCGGTCGACGGCTTGGGCCGGGGTTTTTTTGGGTCGGCTTTGGTGGAGGAGGGTGTACCAGGCGTTGAAAGATTTGTCTTCAGGGGTGATGCCTTCACTGAGTCCTTGGTGGAAGATGGGACGACAGGCTCCGGCCGACTCGTTGCCGCTGCTAATGTTCGTGACGTCTTGCTGGATGAAGGGATGATTGGCGCGGGTTTTGACTTCAACACTGAAGTATTTCCAATTCGCGCAGATGGTGACTGCCGCGGTTGGTCTTGGACTACCACTAGCGCTGAAGTAGTTTTCGTTAGGGAAACCCGAACTGGCAATACCAGAGCTGCCACAGATGTTGCCAGGCCCTTCCTCGATGGGACTGGATCCGGTTGCTTCAAGTCTGCCACGGCTGCCCTCAGGACCACCATGGCCGGAACCAGAAGCGCCTGGTGGATAAGGTCCATCACAAACTCGCCAATGACATCCGCCGCTGCCTTATAGGCCCATAAAAACAACCGTCGGGAGAGATCCACCATCGTCTGTGCCTCTATAGCAGCCGCGACGGTTTCTGGCGTCTCGAAGCCAGACATGCAAAGAGGCCATTTGAGAGCTCTCATGATGAGATGATTCGCTATATTTTTGTCTGCGGTCAGACTGGGGTCGTATAGTGGAGGCATCCAGTCGCCAATGGTCGCCGTATCATTGAAGGTGAAATACTTCCGAGTGAAGTCTTCATCGATTAAAATATCCCGAAATTGCTCTGCGGTAATATGTACAGGAAGATGGGGCGATATAGTCGCAGGAGGGCAGTAAATTTCACTGCTTGCCATTCGTGGCTTGATGTAATGCTGGCCGTCGTCCTAGGAAATAAACAAAGTTAGATGATAACTATATATGATTATATATTGCAAATCCACTTACATCTTGACAACCCTTCTTGCCATCGGAGGTTGCTTGGGGACCAGACTGGGCCTTTGTAGACGGGAAATACATTTCATTGTAAATCGCGACGGCATCCGCGATTGGCACCACTGTATCCAAGATTTGACGTTTGCGAAGAACGTGCTGCGTGTCCTGTGTAAAACTCTAGGTCAGCCAAGAACAATGTGCTATGATTTAATAACGATGAATGTTAGACAAGCTTACCGCTAAAATATCCACTTCTTTAATACCCTCGTAGGCATCGATGATACTTTCTTCCCCGGAGGGGTATAAAGGATCATAAGGCTGATCTAACAAGGGCAACTCATAGTCTCCATTTGCAACTCCGGTAGCGACCTCACTCGCCATACCTTGTTCTACAAGGCGTGCCTCGTAATTGCGGCGGCGTTCTTCCTTTGCATAGAACCAAGTTAGCTAGTAGCTCATAAGGATAATTTAGTGGTGACAAACGTCGAATAAACTTACTTCTTGATCATTCTCATCGACACTGGTCTCCATAGCGGCTGTTTAGCGGCCGGACTGGTCTTTCAATGGAGACTCGTACAAGTCGCCCCCATTCATGGAATCAAAGTTAGAAGCAGATGCTTCGCAGTGAAGATGTTCATCCTGTGGAAGAAACGAGTCAGAGTAGAACCAGAAACGATTGTTGAACGAAGGGAATATTGACATATAATAAACTTACATCTTCGTCGACTTCTTTGTCATCTGTAACCTTTTCGCGGGAGGTTGATTCCATAGGCACCCCATAAACTGGCCTCTTCGGGTGCCGTTCATCCTCCTCGTCAGCATCTTCCCCATCGGAGTCATCTTCCTCGGACTCTTCCCCCGACTCTCAAGAGGAGTCTGAGGACGAGTCGGGGTCCGACTCGGGGTCTTCGCCTTCCTCCGAGTCTTCATCCGACTCATCCTCAGATGAAGAAGAGTCCTCGTAGCCATCGGGGGTAGGTTCCGTGCCTGTGGATTCGTCAGGATCGTCTTTAGGAGATTCCTCGACCGGGTCCTCCCTGGTATAGCCATCTTCGGAAGAATCCACTGGATACCGTGGAACTCTTCCATGTTGGCCCAGGAACCTCCAGGAAGGTAGGAGGAATTGGATATCGGGTTCTTTATCACCTTGTCGCCGCCGCTTTAAAACGGCTTCCACATCATCATCTTCTCGTCTTCGTTTCGAACCAGTTGCCACAGAGCTGGCGGTTTTGGCCCTGCCCGCCTTGTGCTGCGTTGATCTGGCCCTCGCTGCCGAGGCCGATCGCGTAAGTCGAGGAGGCATAATGGAATAATGGAATGTGAATGTAATAAAATATAACTTTCTTGGGATAGTATGGGAAAGGTGATTGGGAAAATATGGAGACTAAGAAGCTTACGAGGAGAGGCCCTCGCTTTATTGCATACCGGTTCGTCCATCGTTTCTAAATGTGAGAACGAGTACGGAACCCCTTGGTATTCTGTTTGAGCGAGTCTCGGATGGATACAGCAAGGCAATGCAACAGTGTGACGTGACTAAAATATGGGATATGGAGAGCAAGATGCAGCTTACCTTGGTGTACTCCATATAATAGAAGCAGGTTGACGGGAAGGAATCGCCGATGTCGAGGTTGCTCATATGGCATGCAAGGTGGGATTCCTTCCTTCGACAGGATGTGATCCGAGGTGGGCCAAGCGAATCAAGATTGGACGCTTGCAAATACGCATAGATAAATTATACGGGCGGGCCGGAAAGGCACAGATAATAGCTCCTCTCGGCAGCACGGGATGGAGGGATTCTGCAGCTAGGCAGATACTGTAGGAACTACCCCCGGGGCGGCTGGTGCCGAGCTGTCACGTTGGACGAAGAGGGTACCGACGGGAATCAACCCGAGCAAACAAATCCAGATCCTTGGGTAGATACCCGCGCCTTTCAACCGTGGGACCCTCCTTCCTAGAACACAACTATGATGGCTTATAGTTGACAGCTCGTCTTTGACGGGACGGTGGTCCCAGGCGATCCCTTTGTCCCTACCCTTCGCTAGGCATACCCGGAGGGTACTCTTACAAAGGGGAGTATGAAGGAGGCTATGCCGTCTAATAACGGCCACACGAATGCGGCCGTGGAGGTCCTTTCGCTCACGACTTGATGGTCTGTACTGCTCCACATGAAATGAACGGTGTAGATAATGTGATAATGATATGCGGCGACAGCCCTACTTCGCTTCTATTTTGAGGTGGCCAATGTAACCCAGCGGTGAGATCCATTCAGCCCCTGCTCGAAGCCCCGTACAGGGGCTCGCGGAATCCCTTGCTGTGCTAGGCACCACCCCACCTGTCAGCAAAGCTTGCCACACACTTCACATAGCGATCTATATCATCCTTAGTATGCACAATTGTGAGGGCCACAAACCCCCTCCGGGTAACGTATATATGATTCTTGATCATGTGGAAGTAGAACAAGTCTCTCAGCTCCACCAACTCGTCGTTTGCGCCGAAATGGATGGCGTTGATCGAGCCAACGCCCGAGATCCATATCCGACCCCTTGGCACCGTAGCAATATCACGCATGTCCGCTTCCGTCGCCGCGCAAACGAGCCCCTTCTCAACAAGGATCGACAGCACAGCCTGGCGGAGATAATCTCCCAGCTCGTTTAGTTGGGTCAGGACAGCCTCTGTCAATATCTTGGTCCCCGCAATCCCTGCATGCATTGTGAGAACATTGTTGTTGAACGTGCCGCTGTGCATTAACGACATTGGCTTCTGCATTCCATCGGCCGTCGTCACCACGCCACCGCTCTTCGGGTTGAAGAGCTCCATAATCTCGCGGCGACCGCCAAAGATCCCGAAGCTCATTCCGCCACCAAGGTACTTGCCCATGGTCATGAGGTCCGGCTTGATGCCATATTTGCCGGCCAGGCCCCCTGCATGGTGTAGGCGGCTTGTCATCACCTCATCAAAAATGAGCAGTGCCTTTAGCTCGGTTGCCCGAGCGCGTAGATGCTGCAGGAATTTAATCGACGCAGGAAGGCATCCGCCTGCCCCTTGCATGGGCTCGACCAATATCGCCGCCAGGGAGTCTGCTGGCACCCGAGATAACTCCTCATCGACAGACTCGATGGAGTTGTAGTCTGCCACGACGTATTCCCCCGGCATTGTCATTGGATCCAATTCCCCCTTGGTATGGAAGGATAGAACAGATCCATGATATGATCCCGCAAAGGTAAGGATCTTGCTCCTCCCGGTCCAGACCTGCGCGGTCGTCGTTGCTAGAATGTTTGCCTCCGTGCCCGAGTTTGTGAATCTGACCATCTCGAGGCCGGCACCCGCCTGGAACCTTTTCTTGATCCTTGCCGCTAGCTCCCCCTCGAGCGGACTTGTTGCGCCAAAATTGACGCCATTTAGCAAGGCCCCCTCAAGAGCCTGGAGGATATCCGGGTGCGAGTGGCCGTAGATACCGGCGGTGTACTCGCCAACCATGTCAAGGTAGACATCTCCATCTGCGGAGCGGATGGAGCAACCACTGGCAATCGTGATTGCCACAGGGAATGGCGGAGAGAAGAGGGTACTGCGAGTGTTCCCGGCCGGGAGATGATCTGAGGCTCTGTTGAATACCTTCTCTGAAGCGGGGTTCGCCGCTACGAAGCTGGCCACCGCATCTTGCAGAGCAGCGTGGACATCGGAATCTGCACTCGCCATGTTTGCTCACAATAAATGATAAGTCTATTCTCAACAATCGGCCGCGTCTCTATTACGAGACGTCGTATTAAGATTGTATTGGTGGGACAGGAGACGAACAATCTGAGACGGGTACGGACACAATCCGACGGATGTCCGAGGCAAGACGCAAACAATCCGAGCCAAGCAATCTGCAACGCAAGGCAGACTACAAACAATCCCCGTGACAAAGATGATATATTTTGCCAAGGCACAACCAATAATTATCTGCCAAGATCAATAATGATATTGCAGTAAGACAAAAGATAAGCAGCTCTCACAGGATGAAAATTTTATTTGTCGCCGTTGGTGTTGCAGTATGCCAAGGCACAACCAATATCGCCAAGATGAAGAATGATATTGCAGTAAGACAGGAGATAACGAATCCTCACGGGGTTGATATGATATTTATTGGCGTAGATGTTGATCGCGGGGTTACTGCCGTACTGTGCCAGATACGGACCGGACGGGCATTGAAGGTGCCGATCGGTCGTCCCCTACATTCCCGTGACACGCATCGAGTACAAATCAATCCAGGCACGTGACGAGCTGTTAAAATTCGCCGTCTTGCAAGTGAGACAGTTTTATTTTCAAATAGCACTCACGTGACACGATTCCGCATTCCGCTCCAGCCCACGTGCCTGCTTCCGTGGTCCCTGGAGCCTCCGCGGAGGCGGCCTCCCAAGACCACGCCCTGACGTCAACACTCAGCCCACACCGCACGTCCAGGATGCCGCCGCATCCGCCAAGGAAAGGGGGCGGGGTGTCGCCATCTCGGTGCTCGGCCTGGGTGGCGCGACGAGCGAACGCCGAGAGCGGGGTGCGCGGCATCGCGATGAGTGTGAGTGAGGGAGGTGAGATGAGGTGAGAATGAGGGTAAGCGGAACTGAAGGGCAGCAGGGTAGGTACAGTACAAGAAAGTAGGGGCTACGATTGGGAGGACGAGGTCGGCAAGGGCGGCGGGTCGGAGCGTTTGTTGTTCCTGTACAGTAATCTGTGTTTTGATGCGTTTTGGGTGATGGTTTCTGTGCCTGGGGTTAGTTTTGGGGTTTGTTTCGTCTGTTTGGGGGGTTGGAAGTGGAAGGGGGTTCTAGTGCGTGGCGGGGCGGTGGTGGTCGTTCGCGGCAGTCAACGATGGAGTACATGGCGGTGGCGGAAATGCCTCAATGGGCTCAATGGGGGTGCCGCGATGACATCATGGCGTCCCCACAAATTTGCGGAAGAAACGGCGAGGCGAACGGTGAGTTGGGGTTGAGGGAGTTTTGGGTGTGGTTTGGGAGACGTTTCGTTTCGTTTCGCTTGGGTTTTGTTTTGTTTACTCATGGATAGCCTGGGCTGGCCTGGGCTGGCTGGGGGCGGACGAGTCAGGGTGTGATGGGATTGGGGAGGGATTGGGGAGGGATGAGGGATGAAGGTCTGGATGGGCGGTTAGAGTACTATACGGTGTGGTGTGGTCTAGAGTACTCCGGCCGTTTGTTTTGATGATACGGGATTGAGAGGTGCCGTGTGCCGTATTGATCGTATTGGCCGTATAGAGATTTCTTGCGCCGCCATACATACACCCCCCCCCGGATGCAAGCAACAGGGCATCGCAGAGCACACGACCACCTGTCCCCCCTCGGAGTTCTCGATCTCGCACGTCGCGCCGGCGGCACCGTGTGTCGAGGTGCATGACGCAGGACGTCAATTAATTGATCGGACAGTACAGCGAGTACAGCGAGTACAGCGAGTACAGCGACTACAGCGATGCAAGTCATCCAGAAGTCCCAGAAGCACAGGGCATCTCAACCCCAGCAGCGCGTCTCATATAGCTCACCCCCCATCTCGGCCAGTTGTGCTGTAAACAGAGGCAGGCCAGACAGGGCGCGAGGCCCATGGGCAAATAGCAAATGCAGCGCACCGCAAATGCGCGATTTAATCCCCGTCGCCGTACCCTGAAAATCCCTCGCGCGGGTCGCCAACGCCGGGCAAAATAGCACGCGCTAGGCTGTAACGGGGATGGCGGTATCGGATGGACGTGGCTAGGCGAGATCGTTGTTGGTGGGGGAGAGACCAGGGCAGGGCTTCGTGTGGGGGTCAAGATTGGATTGGCGAGGGGAGTCGGTTGGTCGGATTGGGGGTTTGTTGAGGAAGGGGGACGCTATTAGTGTACACCCTCGGTGGGATGGGCGGCAGTGGAGGGCGGGTGATGCATGCGAGGGATTTGATGACTGTGTGAGAGTGAGGGTGAGGTGAGGTGAGCGCAATTGAGTGCGTGTGAGCCCATATTGCGAGTGTGATCGTGCGTGATCGTGTCCGTGTGTCTGTGTGCGCGTGTGAGGCTGGGCAGGGCTGGGGAGAGTCTCGGCGGAGGGGGAGGGGAAGGACAAGGTCCTCTCGGTGGAGGGGAAATGACGAGATGAGGAAGGAACGAAGGGGACGATGAGAAGGAGGGGCAGTCGCCAAAACAAACTGTGTTCCTCGTACGTACTCGCACGGCAGGGCAGAGGCATGGCATCACTCATCGCGCGGTCCCTCCCCCTCACCGCCGCGTTGGACCTGCTGCATCGGGGTCGTTGCCCAGGAAACGGCGACACATTGCCCAGCACGCCGAGGAGGACACTGCGGCGCGCGGATTGGGCAGGCGGGCAGCGCGGCGGGGGGAGGGGAGGGGAGGGAGGGTGGGAGAGGGTGGAAGAGGCGGTGATGACTACACGGTGACTACACGATGGAGGGGATGGAGGGGTGGAGGGGGTTTGAGGGTGTTGATCGGGAGGGGGGTGTCGAGTGGTCGGGGGCCAGTGACGGGGTAGATTTCTTTTGTTGTGTGTAGTTTTTGCAGTGTGTAGGTGTAGTATCGACCCCTTCGCGGGTGGCTGCAGCGTGGTGGATGGCGGGCATGGTGCAGCGAGCGCTCATCGTGGGTAGTGCAGTGTGGGCGGGCGGGCCAAGACAGGAGAGAAAAGGACATGGCAATCACGATGGTAGTAGTGGTGGTTGGTGGTGGTAGTCGTACTGGAAGTAGTAGTCGTCGGCAGCCCACGAAGCCCTCACCACGCGATCCCGTACAGCAGTCGCTCAGTCAGTCAGCCAGTCAGCCTTGGACGATGTCAATCAGACACACACACGCGGCCGTCTCACCCCCATTCTCTCATCGCCAGACCATCGGGCCAGTGCAGTCCATCACCGTTATCACTGAAATAACGAGCATCCATCTCTTCCCCACCATGCAATCTGCCTGTCCCCCACCCTTTGACCGAGCGACCGACCGGAGGAGAGGGATGAGTGAGTGCTGTGGTGAGACTGCTGTGGTGAGACCACTGTTCGTCTGCTCGCGGTGACCTAGCTCACGTGCTCCGGGCCGGGCTTGACTCGTTGCGTGGGTGACTGTACAGTACAGCACAGCAGTACTGACCTGACTGTACAGACAGTAAAAGACGAATGCGTTGAGTCCTGGAGTAAAAAGTAAGTGAGTATGTACAGTCAGTAAGTACCGAGTACTCAGTACTCAGCAATCGGCGCTAGTTACGTGCCTGAAACCCGTCCCGTCTAGCCGCAGTAGGTGTAGTACGGGTGGGGCGTGGTCGAGTCGAGTCGAGTCGAGTGCAAAAATTCCTTCTTCATCGTCGCCCCCCGGTTGGTTTTGTGCTCACCCCGGTCCAACCCCCCGTCGGTTTCCTCCTCAAATCGGCCGTGCTCGGGTGGTTCTTCCTTTCCCTTATCTTGGCCCCCTTGGCTGTTTGGCTGTTGATGTATCGAGTACGTACTGCAAACTACCACAGATATAACCACAGACTACCACACACGACGACATCGCTGCCCCGCATTACTCGTGACTTTTGCCCCTCGCCCTCGCCCTCGCACTCGCCCTCGCCCTCGCACTCGCACTCGCACTCCCACTCGCACTCCCACGTCCACGCCCACGCCCTGCGTCTTCTCGTTCTTCTCGCCTCGTCCTCTTCTTCTTCTCCGCGGGCGGCACTCTCGCTATTGTCCGTCCGTGGTGTACTGTACGTTTCGCTCTTCCCCTTTCCCTCTTCGCTCTTCCCTCTTCGTTTCTCCTGCTCCGGCTCCTGCTCCGGCCGCCATCGCCATCGCCATCGCCCTCGCCCCCCACAGATACGCCGAGAGTAGAGAGTACTTCCATCGTCGGTGGTGTGTCGTCTGTACTGTCTGTAGTGCCTCTCCTGTCCTCTCCGTACTACTGTCTGCCCGTACTGTCCTCATTGTGGTCACTGCGCTCCCTCCACTCCTCTCTCCGCTCCCTCCGCCCATCCTCGCCGCCTCTGTTGTGTACCATACGTGCTATTGCGAGGGTTCACGGCGCTAATCCCTCAATTCCCGGCATCCTCCTTCTCTTGCCTCCTACCTCCCTTCCTTTTCCTTCTCCCTTCCCCATTCTCCATTGTTCCCCATCGTTTCTCCATCGTACCTTCCCTGTCGCCTCCTCCCTTCTTCCCTGCAATTTCCCGGTACGTACCACCTAGTCGCAGCTATCGGAAACTAATCCCAACTAATCCCACCGACTAACGGATTACTAGGGTGATTACTAGGAATTACTAGGGATTACTAGTGCCACATTCCCTCGTCCCTCCTTCGCCCGCCCCTGCTCCTCCCACCCTTCCCTTCCCTCGCCGGCCCTCGCTCTTTCCGCCGCTGCAATGTCATCGGGAGTGACGGCACTCTAGTCCACTCACTCTAGTCCACTCACCCCCTCCGTACACACACCGGTCAACCCGGTCCTTAGTCTCTTTCCGCTCCTTAGTCTCTTAGGCTCTTAGTCTCTTTCCGCTCCAAAAAACCTTCCATCAGTCAGTAGCGGGGTACCCTGTTGGTACTCGGTCTTGGCTGATCGTCCCTCCTCATCGTCATGTATCTTCAGGTCATCCTCGTCCATCCTCACCCCCAAGATCCCCCACCCTCCTCTCCCCCTCCACTCCCCTCCTTCCCACCACTCACCATCCCCCAATTCCCATTCAGGTCCCTCCCTTCGCCGGCTTGAGACGAATCCACTTCTCGTCCACTCAGATGCACCACCGACTTACCCGTCCTGGTCCCCATCTTTCTGTTGTGGTCGCTCGTCGGTCCTACTAAAAATGTCTTTTTTTTCTTTTCCCTGCGCCATATATTAATACTTCCTCATCCCCCCTTCCGTCTGGATTCTTCTCTCCTCCTTCCTCTCCTTGTCCACGGGCGAAAATCACATTCAACCACCAATCTCCACTCTCCCCCCCTCCCCCCCCCCCGAATCCGCTGCAATGGCGCGCGATCTCGAAGTCGGAAACGCCGAGGCGGAAGACCGCCGGAGCATCGCCAACAATGAGAAGGAAGTCGAGCTCGACGAGTACAGCAACCTGGTCCGCTACATCTCTACCTACCGCGACACCAAGGGAGCTGCCGCCGTCGTCGACGAGCAGGAGGATTACGATGAGAAGAAGCGTCCCTGGTACGCCTTCTGGCGCAAGGAGCTCGGTCCCGGCGGCGCCATCGATATCCCCACCGAGTGGCTCGAGACCGACATCGCCACGGGTCTGACCTCTGAGGAGGTTGAGCGCAGAAGGCGCAAGACCGGCTACAACGAGCTGGCTGATATCAAGGAGAACATGTTTCTCAAGTTCGTCGGCTTCTTCCGCGGCCCGGTTCTCTATGGTACGTTCCAATTGCTTATTCTCATTCGCCGAGATATTCTGCCATTGGCGGTGGCGATTCAAATCACGTGCTAACTCGTGTTTTTCTCTGCAGTTATGGAAGTCGCTGTTCTCATCGCGGCTGGTCTGCGTGCCTGGATTGATTTCGGTGTTATTATCGCTATTCTGTTGCTCAACGCCGTCGTCGGCTGGTACCAGGAGAAGCAGGCTGCCGATGTCGTCGCTTCGCTCAAGGGTGATATCGCCATGAAGGCCACCGTCGTCCGCGACGGTGTTGAGCAGGAGATCCTCGCCCGTGAAATCGTCCCTGGAGATATTGTAAGCATTCCCGTTCCCAACTCACTCAATTGGCGGACCTCGCGCTAATAGTCTTTCCACAGGTCATCCTCGAAGGTGGTGGCCACGGAACGGTCGTTCCCGGTGACTGCCGTCTCATCTGCGCTTACGATAACAAGGAAGATGGATTCGCCAACTACCAAACCGAGATGCGCGCACAGGGTCTCGCTGGCAAGAAGGGCGGCAACCCTGAGGACGAGGATGAGGAGGGTCTGCCCCACGGCGGCCACGCTCTTGTCGCTATTGATCAGTCTTCCATGACCGGAGAGTCCCTCGCCGTCGAGAAGTACGTCACCGATGTCTGCTACTACACCACTGGCTGCAAGCGCGGCAAGGCCTACGCTATCGTCACCTGCTCTGCCAAGGGCTCGTTCGTCGGAAAGACCGCCATGCTTGTCTCTGGTGCCCAGGATTCCGGTCACTTCAAGGCCATCATGAACAGCATCGGAGGAACTCTTTTGGTTCTCGTCATGGCCTTCATCCTCGCTGCCTGGATCGGTGGTTTCTACAGACACTTGAAGATCGCTACCCCCGAGGACTCGTCCAACAACCTCCTCCATTACGCTCTTATCCTGCTCATCGTCGGTGTCCCCGTCGGTCTGCCAGTTGTTACCACCACCACCCTCGCCGTCGGTGCTGCGTACCTCGCCAAGGAGAAGGCTATCGTTCAGAAGCTCACTGCCATCGAGTCCCTCGCTGGTGTTGACATTCTCTGCTCTGACAAGACCGGTACCCTCACTGCCAACCAGCTGTCCATCCGCGAGCCATACGTGGCTGACGGTGTCGACATCGACTGGATGATGGCTGTCGCTGCCCTGGCCTCTTCCCACAACACCAAGCACCTGGATCCCATCGACAAGGTCACCATCGTCACCCTCAAGCGCTACCCAAGGGCCAAGGAGATGCTCATGGAGGGATGGAAGACCCACTCTTTCACTCCCTTCGACCCCGTCTCCAAGCGTATCACCACCGTCTGCGAGAAGAACGGCGTCATCTACACCTGTGCCAAGGGTGCCCCCAAGGCCATCCTCGCCATGTCCAACTGCTCCAAGGCTGTCGCCGACGAGTACCGCGCAAAGTCCCTCGAGCTCGCCCACCGTGGTTTCCGTTCTCTCGGTGTTGCCGTCAAGGAGGGTGAGGGTGACTGGCAGCTGCTCGGTATGCTTTCGCTCTTCGACCCTCCCCGTGAGGATACCGCCCAGACCATCGCCGATGCCCAGCACCTCGGACTCCAGGTTAAGATGCTTACTGGTGACGCTCTTGCTATCGCCAAGGAGACTTGCCGCATGCTCGCGCTCGGCACCAAGGTTTACGATTCCGACAGACTTGTCAACGGTGGCCTCACCGGCAGCACCATGCACGATCTTTGCGAGAAGGCCGACGGATTCGCCGAGGTTTTCCCCGAGCACAAGTACCAGGTCGTCGAGATGCTTCAACAGCGTGGCCATCTTACTGCCATGACTGGTGACGGTGTCAACGATGCTCCATCTCTCAAGAAGTCTGACTGCGGTATCGCCGTCGAGGGTGCCACCGAGGCTGCCCAGGCCGCCGCTGACATCGTCTTCCTCGCCCCCGGTCTGTCCACCATCGTCTCCGCCATCAAGATCTCCCGCCAGATTTTCCAGCGCATGAAGGCCTACATCCAGTACCGTATCGCTCTCTGCCTGCATCTCGAGATCTACCTCGTCACCTCGATGATCATCCTCAAGGAGACCATCCGCGCCGAGCTCATCGTGTTCATTGCCCTGTTCGCTGATTTGGCTACCATCGCCGTCGCCTACGATAACGCTCACTACGAGAAGCGCCCTGTCGAGTGGCAATTGCCCAAGATCTGGGTCATCTCCGTCGTCCTTGGTTCTCTTCTCGCTCTCGGCACCTGGGCCATCCGCGGCACACTCTTCCTGCCAAACGGAGGTATCATCCAACGCTACGGTTCCGTCCAGGAGATCCTCTTCCTCGAGGTCTCCCTCACCGAGAACTGGCTCATCTTCATCACCCGTGGCTTCGAGACCCTCCCATCCTGGCAACTAGTCGGCGCCATCCTCGGAGTTGACGCCCTCGCCACCATCTTCTGTATCTTCGGCTGGTTGTCTGGCGGTCTCGAGGAGTCCGTCTCAGGCGACTTCTCCCACTTCCGCGGCGATGGATGGACCGATGTCGTTACCGTCGTCTGTGTCTGGCTGTACTCCATGGCCGTCACCGTCGTCATCGCCATCGTGTACTACATGCTGACCAACTGGTCGTGGCTCGATAACCTCGGCCGTAAGTCGCGCAGCGTGCAGGACACGCAGATCGAGAACATCATCAGCCATCTCAGCAAGATCGAGCTCGAGCACGACAAGGAGAGGGATACCTGGAACATCAAGGCCAAGAGCGAGAACCTTGATGAGGATGACGAGTAAGCGGTTCGCTCAGTGGATCCTACTCGGCATACCTCTCTTCATACCCCTCCACTGCCGATACCTGCTCTTGTCAAATCATGAAAAAGGAAAGGCTCTGGGTGGGGTGAAGATGCGATAAAAAAGAAAGTAAAAATATAGACAAAAGCATAGAAAAAAAAGTCACATACCACACTACTACGTCTCTCTCACACACATCATCATCATCACATTGGCGAATCCGGCTCCACCAAAAGCCCGCGCCACGCTATTCACACACATTTTCCTTTTCTTATCTTATTATATATTACATGATATCTTGCATAGACATCTAGCGGGGTTTTTTTTGGCGGCGGTGGCGGCGGGGGTGCAATAGATTGTGAGAATTTTTTATACTTGTATATAGCGCGAGAGTGTAATAGACTTTTGGTTTCTAATGACCCTTTTTGTGTTCCTGTTCCCTTGCTTGTGCATGCATATGTGATCTTTTTCCAGGCCAGTCGAGTGGAGTGAAGAAGGGAGGGACGTCGCGCGACATGGGGATGCCCAGATCGTGGTGACTTTGTCAACTGGAGGGGTAGGTAGAGTACATGAGATGAGTAGCTTCGTTGTACATGCATAACCCACGTAGGACGACTAGGGAGGAAGGGGGGGCAAAAAAAAGCAGGGGTCGAAACTTTACTTACTCCATTCCCCCTTCTTGGCAGCGGGGGCGACTTTTACCGGGAGGCGGCCGGGAGCTGGGGGGGGGGGGTGGGGGGGTGCGAAGCTTCTTTTTTTGGGGGGGGAGGGGTTTGGGGATGGTGGCTGGGGGATGCGGGGGAGGTTGGTGACGCGGGTGGGTGGGGGTGGTGCGTGGGAATGGGGGTTTTGGAAGGAGTCACTCTTGTTTGGGGGAGAGGGAGGGGAGGGAGGGGTATATACCCCGCTTCCGCGTGTCGCTATGCTCGTATCAATAAGGGCGACCTAACCAGGGGTATATGTCGAAGACATATGGGAACTGGGTGGTTGGGCCTGGCGGAATGTGTGTTTGTGGTGGGCTGAGGGTGGGCTGAGGGAGACTGCGTGGTGGTGTTGTTGCTGTTGCTGTTTCAGGCTGCTGTTGTTGGCGGCCTTCTGTCACCGACAGGTTCTGCCGCCGAAGGGTTCTGCTAGCGACAGCGTCTGTTACCGCGGTGCCACTGTCGATATGATTAGTTACAAACGCGCCGTACTGGACCTGCAGGTGTACTTGATCCCGTGGCCGTAGTTTTCGTCGGCGTTTTGGCGAACGCTATGCAATAGACGTCACTACCTGAGAATCCGTGATGCACTCGGTGCTGCTGGTATAACGCGTCTTAAATAGCCGCTCTGTCTGCCTCGGTGACTCGCCACGAGCGTCCTAAAATGGTTCTGCTGGGGCGCGAATCTCGGCGTGGGTTCCCCACCTTAATGGTCTTTGGTGATGATGAGGCGGCACGGCGGTCTGCTCATGAAGTGGGCTCACACGGCGAATGTTTCGGCGTACCTCCTGTATGCAGTTGTGGAGTGGGAAGGAGGGGTAATCCCTTCCTGGACGTCATGGTGGGGGTGGAGGGGTAAGATAGCGGACCGTGCGGCCGCGTGCGGCCGCATGCGCCCGATGCGGTGATCATCCCGCACAGGCACGCGGCTATTTTGGCTGCGATGAGAACTAGCCACATGGCATTTCTTCTCCTTCTGGAGGAGGATTTCATATCTGTAGCCTCTGCTGATGCTGATTGGTGCGGTGGAGTCGGTAAGTGTAGGTATAGACGAGGAAAAGGAGTAATCCTGGAGTTTAATTAGGCCGATCGGTGTCGGAGGTTGTGTCGTGTCAGGCCGTGGATAGTGGTCGGAGTTAATGAAATCGCCGTCTGACTTGATACGTTGATACGCAACCCCGCACGGTCGTTGATGGTGTATAAAAGAACGCATCCATGCCAAGAGACGACTTATCGAGATATTGAGATTGACAGAGGATTCGACTGTCATTTAGGCGCCTTGATATCGTATTTCTGACTCGAAAACACCGCCTGGTAAAAACTGTCGTAGCCATCGAACCATCACAATCAGGCCACTTTTACTCGCCGACCAACTCGCAGAAATGGCATTCCCATATAAGCATGTCCTCCTCATTGGAGCAACATCTGGTATCGGCAAGGCGATGGCGGAGCGACTCATTGCCGAAGGCGTGAAAGTGACAGCCGTCGGGCGGCGCAAGGATGCCCTCGAGGAGTTTGAGAACGCGCACCCCGGCCTTGCTCGCGGTGCGGCGCTGGATATAACACAGCTGGATAAGATTCCTGGGTTTGCGAAACAGTAAGATTGGCCCTATTTTGTTTATGGACGCATGCTCCGTTTCACCGCGTTGAAGTCGATAACAAGAGCTGATCTGATGCAGCATCACGGAGGCGTCACCGGATATCGACTGCCTCTTCCTGAACGCGGGAATGCAGCGACCATTTGACTTTTCGAAGCCAGAGAGCGTGGACCTGAACGTGTTCAACGCTGAGACGATGGTGAACTACACGAGCTTGGTGGCCGTGACGCACGCGTTCCTGCCGTTCCTGATCGCGAAGGAGGGCCCATCGGGGATTATCTTGTGAGTTGGGGTGATATTCCGCAGAGCTGCTGCTGTTGGCTGACACAAGTGGAAGCACTGGGACGCATATATCAATCGTACCTGCGGCGCAGTTGCCGGGTTACTCCGCCTCGAAGTCGGCGCTGAATGTGTTTACGATGTGTTTGAGGGACCAGTTGCGTAATACGCAGATCAAAGTCACCGAGATTGTCGCTCCGGCTGTGAAGAGTGAGTTCCCCTCATGTGTCTCTGTCGTGACGACAGTCACTGATTTCTGTAGCCGAACTTCACGACTATATGGGCCTTGAGGTCGGCCGAAACCTCGGAATGCCGCTGGATAAATTCACCGAAGAAGCATACCAAGGGCTGTTGTCGGGCGAGGATACCATCGCTGTTGGTGGGATTATGATTCCTGGGGCGAAGGAGGCGATGGCGGATATAGTGGCAAAGCGCAGGACGATATTTACTTCGCTGGCGGAGCTGATCAGAAGCCGTTGATAGGTGAACGGGACGTTTTGGTCTGGTGGTCGGTGGGTTAGAGTAGGCCTTGAGGCACATCTCCTCTCATTCCTATTGTTCTGTATAATAGATGGGAAGGCCTCGGTTTAGTTGGTAGCGCCTTAATAACATTGCTGCCGCCGAACAATTCGGGATACCGAGACGTGATCATGACTTGTGAATAGCGAGCAAGACCAACGGCATTTCGCGCCATTGTGAGATATCCATAGAGAAAGGTGTAGCGCCAGCCATTCTAATCTCCGAAGGGGTCTTTTGAGTATTTCATAGCTCGGCTCTTTTTGAAGGTCGTTCCTTCCCCAGGTTTTGTTCCTGCCTGACGTTCTGTGCCCCTGAAAATCGCTTGTGCTGATGAGAGAAAAATGTGGGGCGATCTCCATCCGAGTCAACAAACGACCACCCCTGAAACCTTAATTGAACGACAGCCCAATTGACTAATCCTGGTGCTGTTTGAAGAATTACCTGCCAATTCTCATCTTCAACATACCAATGGGTACGGATCCAATAATACAACATTCTAATTTTATGATATTCGAAATTTATCCGTGTCACGTGCTCGCATAATTTCGGCTTAAAAGTTGGCGTCAATAGCCGCGATTATCGTGATATACGCCTACTAGGAAGACTTCGGGACGGAGCCACCATTTGAGATAATATTTACTCTACTGTAAAGATAATCTCACTGAGTTCGCCAGGCATCATGGCTACCAAATTGAGACAGTTGCCCTTGCGAGCGGCCCTTCGCACAGCAACACGCTGCGCACCGCGTCAACAGCGCTATTTTGCGTCAACCCCGAAATGCTCCACAGATGGTGTGTATGGGGAATTGACGGCAATGAGGACGCGGACTCCCTTCATCGAGGCATTCCGGAAACAGCAGGAGGGTAAACAATCAGCACCAATAAGTTCGCCTGTGGGAGACAAGGCGCCGATTGACACCACCCCAAAACGGATGTCGGAGAGTTTCCATAAAGTGGTGAGTAATTACGGGGTGGATTTACATCACGACTATATTGACAGTGTTGTAGACCTTACCTCTTGCGCGTGACCCGTGGCTCCTTGATTCGTACATCAATGCCACGGGCCACATCAGGCTTGGGACGATCTTTATGGATCTCGATGCGCTTGCTGGCGTGGTGGCATACAAGCACACCGGAGACTCGGTCATGACGGTAACGGCGGCTGTGGACCGTATCACGCTGAAGCACCCTCTAACGTCTATCTGCGATCTCGAATTGAGCGGACAGGTGACCTTTGCCACGGGAAGGAGTAGCATGGAGATCTCCCTTCAAGTTGCGAAAGCGCCTGAAGAAGGGAAGGAGGCAAAAGAGGAGGATATCCTCTTGACCTGCGCGTTTACTATGGTGGGCCATCTTGTCAAGTGCATCTACGCAATACTAACAGTTCAAGGTATCTCTGGACCCGGCAACCAAGAAGCCTGTCAACATCAGCCCCTTAAAACTTGTGACCGATGAAGAGCACAGGCTCTACAAAGAAGGCGAAGAGAACTATAACGCCAAAAAGGAGCTCTCCAAAATTGCCCTCCGTAAACAAACCCCCAACGACGAAGAATCAGACCTCATTCATGCTCTCTGGCTCAAGCAATCCGAATACTCAGGTAACCCCTCTTCCTCCCCATCCCACGAACCATACTCACACTCTATAGATGCGACCAGCGCGATGCAAAAACCCGCCAACGCTCACTACATGTCCTCATCCCTAATCCAATCCGTGCAGATCATGCAACCCCAGTACCGCAACAGGCACAACTTCATGATCTTTGGTGGTTTCCTCCTGAAATCCACATTCGAACTAGCCTTCACCTGCACCTCAGCCATCTCACACGCGCGCCCACGCTTCCTCGCCCTTGACCCGTCGACATTTGCCAATCCTGTCCCAGTAGGATCAGTATTGTACATGTCCGCTGTTGTGGCGTACACAGAGCCAGGGGTCGGGGACAGCACGCGGGTGCAGATTCGGGTTGACACGCATGTGCGAAGTGTGGAGCACGGAGAGGTGCGGCCGACAGGGCAGTTTAATTATACGTTCGAGGTGCCTGGGGAGCTGAGTATCGTGCCACAGACGTATGGAGAGTTTGTTATTTATTTGGATGCGAGGAGGAGGGCTATGCGGGTTGCAGGGAGGGCCGAGAGTGGTGCCGAGGGTGCGGGCCAGGATGGGATTCTGGGTTAGACGAGTTGTATTTGATAGAAATGTTGAGATAATAGATGGCTGGGATCTGGTGGTGATTCTATATTTACCTACATATTGTTTCTCGATGCGTGGCGGGTTAAACCGCTATTCCAGATGAACTATATTAGTTGTAGCTTCTGGTGTCAAAGACTTTCATTTTACCTGCCAGTCTCATATCTGAAGCTTTCAGTTCAGTACGGCTCGTGTTCCTATTCTCGGATACTTCTTCAACAGCAACCATAACTGTACTTCCACCAGCAACAGCACCACGCATGACAATGACAAATGACAACAGGACTTCGCGGTGACAAGAATCCTCACCTCCAAGAATGACCCCAACCCCAGAGCTCCATCACCCTTCGTCAACGCTTGCAAAACAATCCAACCCACATTCTTTCCTCTGGGCAGCCATCCGTCTTTCCTATTTTCCGTACGGATCGTCTGGAACGGGGCGGCGATTGTCCTTTTCTAGCACTTTGACATGGGTAGAGGTTGGATTTCACAGGGGACTTGGTTTCATGGTCGTCGTAAACTCATGCATCACCAGAGAACGAACGGCCCAGCTTCGTGAAGTAAATCGACGTTTCGGTGCTAGAAGAAGAGGAAAGCTGTATATTTTGGTGAGTGGATTCTCCTCTCTTCTTTTTTTCCCTCTCATTTTCGTTCTCGTTCTTAATTTCAGCGTCAATTTGATTGAGGAAGAGCTTAAACTAGATACAGCTAACATACACACACATACTATCACTAAGCGTGGTTTTATAACTTCTATCTTCTATATATCATGGAAATCTGGCAAGGATGCAGATGGATATCAATCGCATATTCAACAAGGCAGCGTAGCTGTGGGGTTGGGGCGGCCGTGGTATCTTCCGTGAAGAAACCACGAGGAAAGACGAGGATTCTAAATGGTAAGGATCAATAGCGACTACCGCAGTGAGAGTAACAGTGACGACAAGAGCGCTACTGCGACATCACACTGCCCCCGGGTGACAACAATCCCAGGTGGTAACAGAACCGCAACACCCGGGAACCCATGACTCCCTCACCACCGTTACCACAGCAGTTGGTGCAATTATCCTCCGTATTTCGCCACGAGTTGCCGACAATTGTTGAAATCTCATATTCGTCACCGTGACCTTTTCTATCTCTTACTTTCTTGTACTATTTAAACGTTAGGATCCTCGATGCTCCCTTCGCCACAGTCGTCCGACTTTTTATACCTGCCCTTCCCCGCTTCTGTGGCCAATCTATTTCTGGATCTACACTGGGCTATCACTATGAGGTTCCCACCTCTGGGTGATGTGCGAATCGAGAGATAAGGTCTAGCTTGCATGAGCATGAGGTGTGGATGGGCGGTGCAGGGGGCGGGTGAATGGGCATGGACCAGGTAGGATGTGTAGACCAGGTAGGATGCATGCGCCACTGGCAGTGTTTTTGTCCAGGCCCAGGCCCTCTTGGCCATGAGCTAATCGACAGACGGCCGGCATACCGATAGGCGCGCTGCGGGGCACTCTATGGGCTGGTAATGAGGGTGATTGGATGTATGGACGACATGAAAGCAAACCCGATGCGCTATCCGCGGATGAAACTAAAGCAAGTCAAGGTAGGTAATCGCTCCCGCCGCCTTTCTTCTCTGGCTCATATTCATGGTGCTATTTCCTATGTGGCTGGTATATCTATCCCCTTTGGGGCATCCCCTCACCGGTATGGTGGTTTAAGCTCACTCACAAGCGGGAAAGCTTTTGTCGTCGGGTATAAAATCAATAACTACGGTTCGAGCTAAATTAAATCAGCATGTTGGATTTGCGGCATTCTGGGACACCGCCGTGGTGAGTGACTGGACTATATATGGCTGCAAATTTCGTTTGTGCTCAGAAACCAACCTGATACCAGCCTCGGGTCCCTTGCCGGGGTGCTGTCACCAAAGGGTGTCTGTTATGGCACTCTTGTCACCGTTACTGTTCCCGCTGCCGTTGCGCTGCTGTCACTGTCGCAGTTGTCATCGTTGCTAGCGATTTTTTGATCATTACGTATCACTCACACCACTCACAGCTACCTCATTTCCTCTACAATTCTCGTAGCGGATAATCTTGAGCCCCGATCTCTCCCACCTGGCTCTTTCTTTTGCCCGCCTTTGATCCCATCAATTCATCGGCACATACCTGTGATATATATACGAAGAAATGGAAGTAAACGGCCAAGTGAGTAGGTCTGGTCCTTAAGGTAGGGCACCAGGGACCGGAGCACTTGACTACCTCAATATACCTTTACGCACATTACACGTATGAGCTTTATGTCACCGATTCAAGAATTTGTTTATCCGCAAATCCCAGCTCAGCTAAGCCTCAACCCCCCGCTCTTCGAAATTGAGTTTCGACATCGAGAAATGATAACGTAGACTGTCGAAACGAAGTTAATATCGATGAGGAACACAAACGACATCTAAATCAAAGGGAACAAGAGAGAAGACAACTTTCCAAAACCAACCACTTTTCTCTCCCCCAAACCATTATTCAACCAACAAATATAAGACAGTCATGCAATATAGCAAACACATTTATTGAATTCTACCACAACCTCCACACCCCCACCAACTAGCTAGCTAAGCTATCCAAACAATCCTCCCTAATCAATATATAGTTCAGAAGATACGTCCCCTTCCCTCCCATAAATTCATGATCCATAAATCCTCATCCCTCCACCTCTCGTCAAAAAGCGAGAAATTTTAAGCACCGTTGCCGTTGTAAGCAATGAGGTTGATGCTACCCTTGGGGTCCTTGACAGAGCCCTGAACACCGATGGACGCGATCTTAGCGGCGACAGCGGATGGGGAGCTAAGTCCTCCAAGACCGATGAGGTAGGCGGCGAGACCGGCAACGTGGGGGGTGGCCATGGAGGTTCCGGAGATGGTGTTGGTGGCGGACTTGCTGCCGATCCATGCGGACTTCACGTCAACACCTGGGGCGAAAACGTCAAGGACAGCGCCGTAGTTGGAGAAGTCGGCGCGGGTGTCGGTGTTATCGATGGCACCGACGGTGATGGCGTTCTTGGCAGAGGCGGGGGAGTAGTTGGAAGCATCGGCATCGTCGTTACCGGCAGCGACGACAACGGTGACGCCGTTGGAGATGGTGGATTCGACGGCAGAGTTGAGGGCAGCGGAGTAGGAGCCGCCGAGCGACATGGAGAGGACAGACTTGCCATCACCGCCGTTCTGGCCAACGAAGTTGATGCCGGCAATGACGCCAGAGTTGGAACCGGATCCGTCAGCGTCGAGGACCTTGACGGCGACAAGGTTCGCCTTGCTGGCAACACCGTAAGTGGCGCCAGCGATGGTGCCGGCACAGTGGGTGCCGTGTCCGTTCTCATCAGTATCCGGGGAGCCCGAAATGTAGTTAGCGCCCCATTTGGCGCGGCCCTCGAACTCCTGTGTAGGTGTCAGTAGGAAATTTCAATGCGGGGCAATAAGCGTGAATGGAGACTAACCGAGTGCTCAATGTAGATTCCGGTGTCAACGACGTAGACGGTGGATCCCGAGCCAGCGGAGCTATCGTAGATGTAGCTGTTAGAGCCAGCCGCCTTGTGGGAGATGCGGCCAAGACCCCAGGTAGCACCAGAGCGGGTCTCGAGGGCGTTGGCTTGGACCTTTCCATCCTTCTCAATCCATGCGACCTGGTGCTCGTTAGTCATGTGCGGCAGGTTTTTAGAACTGGGTGTCATCACATACCAGAGGTGACGCGGCGATCTCACCGATGCTGGCGGTGTCGGTCTCGATCTGGTAGCCCTTGAAGCCAGTGATGCTGTACTTGTGGCCAACACCCCTGTGGGCAGAGCTGCGCTTGCTCAGGATGCGGCTGACGGAAGCGAACTCGGACTCGATGTCGGCATCATTGACACCCTTGTTGAAGACAACAATGTAGCTGTCTGGGATGATAGCCTGGGCTCCGGGGCTGCGAATCTTGGCGTTCTGTGCCTCGACGGGGGCAGCAGCAATGAGGGGCAGGAAGCAGGCCGCAAGGGCAATGAGACTCTGGGAGAACTTCATGATGTTCGGTGGAGGACTGGTGATGTGATGGTGAGGAGATGTGGATGAGGATAATAGTGAGACTGGAGGCGGGATATCCGCTGAGCTTTATAGAAGGTTCGCCAGGAACGGGCCAGGACCTGATCTTGCGAGATTGGGCTCACGGGAGCTAAGGACGGTGAACCATTAAGGGAGGCGAAGTGACAACTGCCTATTCGGATGTAGTTCCGTGATGGACGTGATGTGCGTATCGCGATGGCGACATGCCCCGAGGGTAAGTCATGTCGATCTGGCGGCGTGGTCAAGCTTGGCCAGACGCCGGCAGCGGAGGATATGGGGAGCGGGCTTCTTGATTGGGAAGTTGATTCGGTCAGATAGATAGAGGGCAGATGAGAGGGGTGAGAAGGGGTGTGATGCGGGGGGATGAGGAGGGCATGATGGTGGGATGGTTCGTCGAGGAAGAATAGAGAAGCCCCGAGAAGGAAGCTACAAGCACGGCCGGCGAGCTTATAGGCCTGTGATTGCCCTATGATGGGTTGATGATTGAAGATCACCGATGCCGATCAGGAGGCGGTGCGGTCGGCGGGCAGTCCGAGCTTGATGCTTGCGGAGGTGCGATTTCCCAATTAAGAAACATAGGGATCCCTGTGCAGCGGCTAATGGTATCAGGGGACGGGTGGAGAAGCGTCAAGGGGTGATGAGGGATGCTGAGGGTGCCAAGAGTGGTCTGCCAACGTCTCGTGGCAGGGGTCACGCACTGCCGAGCTCCGGCATGCCCGTGGCTCCATAATCCCCATGATACCATCCGAGACATGATACTGAGAGTGGAAGGCCGGAAGAACAGAAGGTTTTAGTCTTCTGGGACGGAGGCGTGGCGTGCAGGAGAAGCGATTACGATTGAAGAAGGAGGGACGACAGTAGCGAAAGGGAGGGTGATGTTCGTGGGAGTAGATCGGCGGTAGGGTAGGCAGGTAAGTATATGTGATATGCCCCAGTTAGGTAACAGGGTCGGGTATAGTGGATGCGGGATGGCTGCATGAAAGCATGCTTGCTTGGATGCTAGGGAAGGGGGGTATTGGAGGGGCTGAAGGAGTTTGAGGGGGATGATTGAGGGGTTGGTCAGCGGCAGTTGGCAGCAGCGGGTGGTCCGCGGGACTGCTGTAGCGGCGTGGGATACCAAGGACAGGGAAGGGGTAGGGAGCAGGGAAGAGTGACCATGATGGTTTCGGCGAGATATACCAGGGCACAGCCGTATATCAGATGGTAGAATGAGATGAGACAGGGACGAAGGGACGACAAGAAATGGGGTGGAAGCGAAGAAGAGAAGTATCGAAGCTGAGAAACTGAGAAACTTCAGGGGGCAACAACGTACCTGTCGCGACGGATTTGTAGTAGATTTGCGGTGGATTTGCACATGGGATACATAGTTAGCTACAATACCTTGTTTGGCGGGCACATGCATGGTGCACACCTTGCCGTCGTGTGCGTGGGTGAGACATCGACAACTGAGACAGCGAAACATCAGACCCAGAAAAGGAGCAAGGAGTCAGTTGGCGGCCGATGTTGTTGTAATCGGCAGCCGCCAAGGCGCATCAAACGCCCGCCGCAGCCAATGAGAGCGGCTGACAGGCGTGCGTCCATGGCGCATCGCGCCAAGCCACTGGCACTTCTCGGCGCGGGCTTGGCACAGACTTGGCACAGGCTTGGTAGGGCCTTGGGGTGGTGGCCAGCAGACCCCAGTGCCGGACGAGGAAGATGAAGGGGGAAGGTGCGGGAAGAGGTGGCTGGGATGTCGTCGGTGATGGTTGGCGGTGGTTGGTTGCTGGTGGCCGTCGTCGGCGGTCGCTGGTCGGCGTTTTGTTTACATAGTATAGTACTCACACACATGCATACACAGCCATGCCTTGTTGGCTGGGCAGGCACATGCGACTTGCTGTTCGCTGGCTGCTGCTGGTGATGCTGGGCAGTCCCTGCCATGTAACGTCTCGGCGAGGTCATCCTGGGACCGGTTGGTGGTATTTGGTCGCATTTGGTGTCACCCTGGGGGTTTCATGGGGCAGATAAGCCTCGAGGCGCATTCTAAGTTTAGTGGCGGCGGGGTGGGAGGACGGCATACCAGTATGGCGCATGGCACTCCGGAATGAACGGGGGGAGGGAGGGGCAGAGAGTATGCGCCGGGGAGAAGGATGGGATGGGATGAGATGAACCAAGGTGAGTACAAGTACGAGATACGAGCGGGGAGAAGGAAAGGGAGAACGGCGGAATGGGAGAATAGGGGAGGGAGGGAGGGATAGAGCCTTGGCGGTTCCGTAGGATCGTGAGATGGTGAGGTGGAAGTGCACAGTGCACTGATGGGATACTGATAGCGATGGCGTACACGATCCTACAGAGCCGTATAGTATAGTACCGTGCAGTATATCCCAGTATATCCCAGTATATCTCACGATATCCCACAATATCCCAGCATAACCCAGCATGTACTCGTCACACAACACGAAGCAGCCGCATGAGAAATGAGAGAGAGAGGAAGGAGGGTACGGCGAGGTTGGGATGGTGTCATGTGACTACAAGATCGCGCACTCTCACGTACTATTCGCAGCTTGTTTCGCAGCTTGGACCGATGGACCTACCTCGTCATCTCAAACTAGCATTTCCTCCTCCTCCTCCTTCTCTTCCTCCCTTCTTCCCCCTCTTTCACCCTTCACACTACCTTATGAAACAATTAGCCAACGCCTCGTTTTGCCCCAAAAGACGCTTCCGAAGCCACCACCCACCATCATGGCCGACCCGTCCCGCCAAGCCGCCAAGCTGTCAACGCTCTCGACCTTCCAGAAGGGTATCCAGGTCCAGATGATCGGCGATGGCTAGCCGACCATCACCTACCTCGCTCGCAGGCGCGCTCACCGCGGGGGAAAGCGGCCAAGTCAGTTGCGCTGTATGCTGTGCTGTACACAATAAGCAGTATCCTTCAAGGCTGGAAAGATCATCAACGCGCAGGCAAGACAGGCAGGTCTGTACAGTATTTAGATGCAGAGAGTTAGCGCGCGGTCAGATCGAGAGAAGGTGCGTATGAGACAATGCGAGCTGGCGATGAGACAAAACAACGTGCTCACTGTGGGCTTCTGCTCGTAATGCGGATCTTGACACTGACGTTGGTGATCTGGTGCGCAGTTGGGAATGATGTGTAGTGGAGAAGACATGTTGGGCAGAGATCCACAGGTACTGCAGCTGGACGTGCTTGTGGTTTCACGTGATTATAGTCATGAGGTGCTTACTAATCTTGGAATGTCACATGCGTACACACGTGATTGAAAAATCTTGTTTAGTAAGCTATTACGTGAATACAACTTATAGTCTAGTCACGTGACAATTTCACGTGCGCAGCTCCCAACTTCGGTAATTGAACTCACGTGACTCTCACGGAACTGACGGCTCTCGTCGGGCATTCTCCGGTGAAAATCCCAATAAACCACCTCGGCGGCGGGGCGGCGACCCCGAACATCCAATCTCGATCCCATCTCGATCCCATCTCCATATCTCTCTCCAACCACATCCCGCGATCTAATCTCATCGCACCGGAATTACCCCCCGCCGCCATGACAACGCCATTACCTGAGATCGGCTTTTTTCTCCATTCTTTTGCCTCACATCGGTGTTGCCACTGGGCACCCGCCGCTGAAATGCTTTATCTGTGGGTATCTCTGGCCAAACAACTGCCTATCTCTGTCTAAATAATCTGCCCTCTTGCCACTATCTAACCCCAAACTACCCACCCGATATCCCCAACTAACCCAAACTCCTACTAGTCCCCCTCAACTTCCCCAGATTTGCCCTCTAATCTCTGATGACAAAACTCTTCCCTTCCCGCTCCATCATGCTAGTGCAATTGACTCCTCCCTCCCACGCCGTCTTCCCCTCAAACGACCTCCTCCTCCTCCCCCCTCTCCCTCCACTTTCCCCTTACTAACCCCGACCCTCCGATCGCCGCTGACAGCGGAGAGAGTGCTCACACGACTTCATCACCATCCGACGTTGCCCATCACCGATCGCGGATCTCCTCCTGCCTCTCGAGAGGGCGTATATCGAGTCCTCCCTTCCATCTCCGAATTCCCTGCTCGTCTTCACACCCCTCACTGCTCGAATCACAGCCGTTGTGATCCGTCCACTCAGGCACCATCACGATGCATGGTGGTCCCGAATCCATCGGCGAGGTGACCTCCGCCTCGCACCACAAGGCCTCCACGGACATCAAGACCAGCCCGTCCATACACTCGGGGGATGATGAGAAGCATGAATTGCAGGAGCAGGTTTCGGCGCCGAAGCTGCAGAGGAGGCTGAAGGCGAGGCATCTCCAGATGATTGCTATTGGTATGTTCATGATCTCGCAATACATAGTCGCTCTTTCCCGAGGAGTGTAGTACCCATTGCTCCTTCCTCGCACACTCGTTCTTTCCTAGGGATGATGTATCCATTGCTCCTTCCTCATCACCGGTCAGCCCTATGCCCATTGCCCTTTCCTCCTTATCCTGAAGAATGCCATGTCCATTACTCCTGCCCTCACTCGCTCTTTCCCCGCAATGCCATATCCATCGCTCTTGCCTCGCCCATCCCACATCTCGACCATTGCTCCTTTCTCATATTTCTTGATGAAGGCTAATACAGAACAGGAGGAACAATCGGAACAGGCCTCTTCATCGGTAGTGGTGGAGCCATCGCAAAGTCGGGACCAGCAGGCGCACTCATCGCATACATCTTCGTCGGCACGGTCGTGTACAGCGTCATGATGTCACTAGGCGAGCTGGCCACACACATTCCCATTTCCGGTGCTTTCACGGCATATGCTTCTCGTTTCGTTGACCCTAGCATCGGTTTCGCGATGGGCTGGATCTACTTCTTCTCGTGGGCTATCACCTTCGCGCTGGAGCTGAACGTGACGGGACTGATCATCCAGTACTGGGACCCCTCCCTCTCGATCGGTATCTTCATCGCTGTCTTCTGGGTCTTCATTGTTGCCTGTAACATGATGCCCGTCAGTTTCTATGGCGAGTTTGAGTTCTGGTTCTCCATGGTCAAGGTCATCACCGTCATCGGCTTCCTCATCTTCGGCATCTGCATTGATGCCGGTGCAGGCAAGGAGGGCTACCTCGGCTTCAGGTACTGGAAAGACCCCGGCGCATTCGCCTCATACCTCCTTCCAGAGTCGAACCCCGTATCCAAGTTCGTCGGCTTCTGGGCCGTGCTCGTGCAAGCTGGTTTCTCGTACCAGGGCACGGAACTCGTTGGTATCGCCGCCGGCGAGACCGAGAACCCGCGCAAGAACGTACCGTCCGCGATCCGCAAGACCTTCTGGCGTATCCTCTTCTTCTTCGTCTTCACCGTCTTCTTCATCGGCCTGCTGGTGCCGTACACCAATGAGCGCCTGATGTCCTCCGCCTCCGACGCCACCGCCTCCCCCTTCGTCATTGCGGCCGACTTGGCCGGCGTCAAGGTCCTCCCAGGCCTCATCAACGCTGTCCTCCTCTTCGTCGTCCTCTCCGCCGCAAACTCCAACGTGTACTCTGGTTCCCGTATTCTCGTCGGACTCGCGCACGACGGCTCGGCCCCGAAATTTTTCGCCCGCGCCTCCGCCCGCGGCGTCCCCTACTACGCCGTCATCTTCACCTCCGTATTCGGCTTCCTCGCCTTCCTCAACCTCTCCTCCGGGGCGTCGACCGTCTTCGAGTGGCTCCTCAACATCAGCGCCGTCGCGGGTTTCATCACGTGGGCCAGCATCGGAGCCTCGCACATCTGCTTCATGCGCGCGCTGAAGGCGCAGGGCGTGTCGCGCGACACGCTCCCGTACCGCGCGCCGTGGCAGCCGTGGTACGCGTGGTACGGGCTGTTCTTCAACGTGCTGATCTGCATCACGCAGGGCTTTACGGCATTCATGCCGTGGGATGTGACGCAGTTCTTCGTGGCGTATGTGAGCTTGATTCTCTTCGTGGTGCTGTTTGTGGGACACAAGGTTATCACGAGGTCCAAGTGGGTTAGGTCTGCGGAGGCGGATATTCTGACTGGCAGCTTGGCGTGCGAGGATGAGGAGTGGGAGAGCATTGCGCCGACGACGCTTTGGGGGAAGTTTTGGGAGTGGGTTGTGTAGGTGGCTGCGTGCTGTGTGGTACGCTGTTGGTATGGGTGTGTTGTGGGTGTGTTGTGGTCGTTGGGATGAGGTGAAGGTAACACATTTTTGATGTCGAGAGACTTGAGCATTGATGTCGAGAGACTTGCAACCGTTTTGATGTCGAGAGACTTGTTGTTTTGATGTCGAGAGACTTTGTCGTTTTGATGTCGAGAGACTTTAACAGCGCCCGGGCAAACGGACAAATGGCATTCGGAACGGTATATGGATCGGTTACACGGTATGGTGCATGGGTATGGGTATGGGACATGGGACATGGGACAGGAAACGGGAAAGGGGGAAATATTTGTGACGTCGAGAGACTTTCCAGCACTGATGTCGAGAGACTTTCGTTTACCCCTTGCATATAGCGTTTGTAGTCATGTCGAGAGGCTTCTTGGGATGGGGGGTGTGGTGTTTGATGTGAGAGGCTTTTCTGTGGTGGGATGGATGGCGGGTACACATATATGATGGATTGTCGGCGGAAGGTGATGTGACGTGTGCGATCTAGAGCGATTTTTGAGTTGTATTTTTTTTATATAGCGGGCATACACGAATAGAAATAGAAAAGCTGTATTATATATTTTGCATTTTAAATTCGTATATTATGTGTCCTTGGAAAATTTATATTGGGAGAGATTTTGTGAGATGATATGCGGGATGGGATGGTTAGTTAGATAGTAGTATGGATTGTCTTGTGTGTCATTTGGACAGTAAGAAAAGGGGTGGAAATAGGATGGAGAAGGATGTGTTGTTTAGTGCATGAAAAGGGTTGAAAAGGGGTGAAAAGGGGATGGAAAAAGGGGTGGGTGCAGGCATGTGGTCGGGAATAGCTCCGTGCATCCTCCCGGATGATCCTCATCGGCAGAGTTGCGCAGACATCTCTCACTGCATTACTCAAGATACATTCAATGAGCAGAAAAGCCTATCATTTCGCACGCAGCCAGCAAGCAACGACGGAACGATGGCATGTCGGGCCGGTTATAACAATGATGGCGCCAACACGAGCCTAATACGCGCCTGGTACATTTCTGAGTCAGGAAGGAGCTTTGGCTGCTGGTTCGCGACTTCCCTGAGTAGGTTGGGCAATGCCACTCATCGCTCTTTCTTTGGCTCTTCAGTTCTTGGCTATGGCGTGTCGGTCCTTCCATATCATTCTCACCTGGCGGCTTCTTTGGCCTGGCAGGGACGCCCTTAGCTCCTTCTGTTCCTGTCTCAGATGTAGTGTCTCGGTCCTTCCTTCCCGCGTTCAACTGGTATTGCTCCTTCTCTCACATTTTTAATCGCCTTGTGTCTATCGCCCCTTCCTTCACACTATGGAGGTCGTGACTTCCTCGCGAGGTGACGTGACGTTGGGGTTCGCTCTTTCTCTTTCTGTTGCGGCTTCCCTTTGGCTCCTTCCATTTTGTTTTCATATAGTCTCGCGCATTGTTTACAATGTTGCAACTACCACCTCTCAGTCGCTCCTTCCATCCTTCTCTGAGCCACCCTCTCCCGCCATTTGCTCATCAACAGCTCCTGCTCTTTCTATCCCTTGGTTTTAACTACCCTCTCGCACCTTCCCTTCCATTCTCAGCATTGCAATCATGCCATCATGACTTCATCCTCTCGGGCGCCCCCAAACATCCTCCCCAGACATCCTCTCGACAATATCTCTCTATCATCAGTTAAGAATCAGTCAAGAATCATTCAGTTACCATTCAATCAGTTCTCAATCATCACACAGTCTATCTCGCAAAGACCAAACAACGAGCCAAACCAGCACATGCCCTCACCATGTGTCGCCTTGTATCTACAACCTACTCCTGCGGCTGCGTAGGACCAACACCATGGCACTACTGTGCGAGCACTCGGGCGATGAGAAACGGTGTGATCCCACAAGAGGAAGGACTGCGCTTCACGCTAACCAATAACTGCATGCTTGATATGAATCAGGGGATCCTGACGGGGAGATTCAACCGGGTGTGCAACGTTTGTAGTCAGGGAGTGAACCCGGGCGATCTGATTATTTGGCCGAAAGAGCAGACGGAAGAGCAGACAAAAGAGCAGATGAAAGAGCAGA